ACCAGGACTGATTCAAAATTTAATCCTGAATAAATCTACTCCGGTTATACAGAAGTAGTCAAGGTCATGTTCCTTGGCCTCAGCTAGCACTTCTGTGATTGCTCTGGCTCTCTTGTCTCTTACTCCTTAAAACACTTAAGGCTCTGATATAACTTGTTAGAATTTTATTATAAACTGTCTTGTGGTTTTTATAATTATATACAAAATTTTTATCTTCTTAATTACATAGTGAAATCATTGAAATCAGGAACCATTCATTTTAATTCCATTAAATTTCCCTTGTTTAGTACACATAACATAATCATGGAATTTTCTTTTTATAACTTAAAGGAGAAAGATTATCTTTTAGAAGCATTTATCCTAATTAAAATAAAAATTGATACTGCTGTAACGGCTGTGCCTATCAAATGTTCTGTCTTTGTATTTGGGCAAAACGCAACTACATACTCAGAAAATACTTCTAGAGTTTTTTTAATAAAATGAGGTTAACATAAAGATATTGGAAAAACTAGAAGGTCACTGTATGCTCTAATTTCAAAAATACTAGGCCACACAATAGACTTATTCTTAGATTTATAATTAAATACTCATGTATTAAAATACTTTGGGGATATGTTACATTTTCCTATTAGGTTCACAGTCACTAAAAAGATATATTTTTATTAAAGAAAGAATACTGCTCTGCCACTGCCTGCCACTCTTTCCTTATTCCAGCAAGCCTGGCATAATTAGAGATAAACAAGTTCAAGGTGAGCAGCCAGCCACATGAAGCTACCTTTATCATGAGTGTCTGCTGGCATTAGGATGCCAGAGTTTACAGCTCTTATTTGTAGTCTATAGTAATAGATAGACTTTGAGAATACTCCTGTCATGTATGCACGTGTAGAAAGCACAGGGAATTGGGATCCTCACACCCAGATTTGGAACTTCTACTTTGTTACTTACAAACTGTGCAGATTGGAGCAATCAGTTTCTTTGATTCTTCTTGAAATGAACTCGTTTATATTGGAAGGATATGTAAACTGTCAAATGACTTAAACATATCACTTATTCTTTTTGTTTGTCTTCTGTTCCTCAGAAATCCACAGATGATAGAGTAAGAATAATCAAAAATTAGTTGGAAAATGTGAATATTTAATAAATTGACTACATCTATGTAAAGAAAAATGTAAATGAATTAATAACTGGATATAATATAAGTATTCTGACACATTCATTATATGCCATTCATTTGCTAAAACCAAATAAAATATAGATTAATTTGTCAAAGTATATAAATAAATTTAATCTTAAAAATAATTTCATTAAATTTTATTGGAAATATCTCAATATTTATATATGACTACCTATCAATTCCTTTAAATTAGCATTAAAGTTGACTTTAAAACTTTCATTTTCTCAGTGAGGATCTGACAATGGTCTATTTATTCATTGACTGCCACTGGGAACTCTATACATATATCAGCAGAGACAGTTGAGTGGAAAATTTCTTATTCTTGTTCTAGAGATACATATCATATCGTTAAACGTGGGATCTAATGTATTCACTGTTAAACCCCTTATTTAGAAGTTAAATCTTATTACTACTATGAACACCACTTTTACTATTGTTAAGTTTAACTCTTCTTGGTGAACTGTATTAGAAAACTGGTAAACTGGTAATACAATGTACATTCAATCTTAGTCATGAAAGTAAATGAATATACTATAGGAATAGTAGCTGACTTTCTTTATTATATGCTATTTTAAAAATACTTTATATGTGTTTTTAAAGTATTTAAAGTTTTTAAAGTATTTAAAAATACTTTATATGTGTATTAGAAAACTGGTAAACTGGTAATTCAATGTACATTCAATCTTAGTCATGAAAGTAAATGAATATACTATAGGAATAGTAGCTGGCTTTCTTTATTATATGCTATTTTAAAAATACTTTATATGTGTTAAATGAGATATCTATGTTCCTATTCCTCTACTAGATCTCATCATCTAGAACATCATCGAGTAACATTCCTGTTTGTCTCTGTATCATTAATTTTCCCTCTCTAGTGCATCATTGCATACGAATACAAAGGTACTTATTAGTTCTCTTATCAAAAATATTGTTCTCTTGAGCCCTTTACCCTTTATATCTACTGGTAATTTTTTCTGCTACTCTTTACAAAAAAAAAAAAAAAAAAGGTGCCTTAATAGTATATAAACATACACACACACACAATTGGTTAACTACAATTGTAACTATATACACACATAAACGCACAAACACACACACACATGCAAGTATTAATAGTTAATCACAATTCTTTTTTCCCCCCCTTTCAGCTCATGAAAAAATATTTTAAGATTTCCAATGGGCTTCGTTTTATTTTAAAAAATAATGAACAATTTTTCTTAATTAAATTCTCATCAGAATTTCACATGTTTTATCACATTCATATCCTTGATGCACATTTTTCACTTGGCTTCTAGGGTACTACCCTATACTGATTTTACTCCTGCCCATCTGTTTTCTTCTTTTCCATGTCTTTTGTCAGTTTCTTCTTAACTTCCAGCTCAATAAATTTTCCAGAACCCAAAGGCTTTTCTCTTTCTACACTCATTATATCATTATTTTGTTATCTCTCCCCCCATACCTTTAAATAACACATACGAGCTCAGAATATATTAGTAATATTCTCAGATCAGGTGTCTTTAGTTAACTCTGGACTATCTCTGTATGATTTTGGTGATCATCAAAATAGAGACAGAATTGTCTTTATGATAGTACAAGAGTGAATTAAATTGGCAGCATCAATCCCTGCTTATCTCTGTAAATCTCATCTCATAACTATTCCCCTTGCCTATCAGATTCCAAATGTAATTTAAGACTACAACTCAGAACCCTTACAAAGCCTATCCTTTTGTATGGCATTCTATCTGACCCCACTACAATGAACCTATATCTGAATCTTTCAAATCTGCTTTATTCAGTCCTTTAAATAAAAAAAGAATCTTTCCCTGATCATCAAAAATAAGTTCTCTATTATTCTATGTCATTATAATTGTATTATTTCAACAACATTGTATTACAATTTGTATTTATACATTTATTTATTTCATTATTTATTTCTATTTTTCTCCTTAAGTAAAGCATAAGCTCCATAAAGGCAGAATCCATGACTGCTTTATTTACCAAATATCCTCAGTTCCTGGAATATAGTCATTGATCAAAAATACGTTTAATGTCTAAAGTAGCTTATTAAAATAGTCAACAACAACAAGAAAGGAGAAGCTAATGAGGTAATAAGAAAACCAAGAAAGGTCAGGTGTGGTCGCCCACACCTGTAATCCTAGCACTCTGGGAGGCCAAAGCGGGAGTATCGCTCAAGGTCAGGAGTTTGAGACCAACCAGAGCAAGTGTGAGAGCCAGTATAATGTATAATTAGCCAGGCATGGTGGCACATGCCTTTAGTCCCAGCTACTCGTGAGGCTGAGGCAGAAGGATTGCTTGAGCCCAGGAGTTTGAGGTTGCTGTGAGCTAGGCTGATGCCAGGGCACTCTAGTTCAGGTAACAGAGTGAGACTCTGTCTCAGAAAAAAAAAAAAAAGAAAGAAAGAAAGAAAGAAAAGAAAAGAAAACCAAGAAATGTAGTTTTATAAAAACTAAAAGAAATGGAGTAGTTTTATGAGGGAAAGAATTGTTATAAATGACATGTGCTGAGTAAGGTAAGATAGCACAAATATTGATGTGTCCCAGGGCTATGGTGGCAATGAGTTCAAAGTGTCACTTTCAAGACAGAACTTACAGCTTTTATATTTCAGGGTGTTGAGAAGTTAAGTAAAATTAATAAAGAGGAGAAAACAATTAAATGTAAACTCTTCAGGAACATTTTTTTGCACATGAAGATAAGGAACAAGTAAGAGCAGATAGAGCAGTCACTGAAAAAGGTTATGGTGATGATAAGAGATATTGTGTTGTTTAAATTGCTTTAAGATGGCATACACTGACACCCTATAATTCTGAGCTTGACTTATTCTCATTTTTATAGACTTGTAGCTAGTGAGGTAAAGAAAGTGAACCCACAAGTAGCTATTTTATAAGAAAATGATATTTAATTCTATTATACAGGCATATTTTAATATTTTTTATTATTTTTTGTAGTAGTTTTTTGAAAATTCAGGATATTATGGGGGTACAAACATTTTGGTTACATGAAATGTGTTTGCCCCACCCACACCAGGGCCACAAGCGTGTCCCTCGCCCATACAGTGTGACCTATTTCCACTAGCTGGGGGTTTATTCACCACGCCTCTACCCCTCTACTTGACCAGCACTCAATGAGTATCACTACCATGTGAGCAGCTCAGTGTTAATCAGTTAGTAGCAATTTGATGGCGAGTACATGTGGTGCATGCTTTTCCATCCTTGTGATATCTTACTTCAAAGGATGGGCTCAATCTCTATCGAGGATAATATAAGAGGTGCTAGATTACCATTGTCTTTTGTAGTTGAGTAGTATTCCCTGGTATATATATACCACATTTTATTAATCTGCTCATATATTGATGGGCATTTGGGTTGTTTTCACACCTTTGCAATTGTGAATTGTGCTGCTATAAACATTTGAGTGCAGATGTCTGTATTATAGAATTTCTTTTTTTCCTTTGGATAGATGCCTAATAGTGGGATTGCTAGATCAAATGGTATATTTTAATATTTTACATAATAGCATGATTATAAAATAGCTTATGTAGAGTACCACATTACAAATACATCAATTTTCCCAGAACACTACACACAGATGTTTTATTTAATCCTTTCATTTATAACAGGGCTTAAGAAAAGAATTTTCAGTAATGTTATTCATAATACCTGGTGTTTGAGACTAATTTGAAGAAGTTAAAGCATGAAATCTGTTTATCTTTGAACAGTATTCAATGGAGAAGTTATGATTTCTTGTCTTAGAATATATGACTTTTTTATTTTGTTGCTTATGTATCCCAGATGCTATGTTTTCCTACCTTTTTCTCTTCTTTTATGATGATACAGATGAAAAAGACTATTGATCAATTAAGAAATGCCAAGAAAGCATTCTTTAGTCTTTCTCTGCAGAAGAAACAAAGTAGGAAAAAAGGACTTATTATGGAGTAAATTCTATTTTTTCCCTCCATACAAAACAACATACGTGTATGGTTTTTATATTACTCAGGACTCCACAAACAGATTTTGTTTCTCTAGATAGTATCTTGGAAGCTACAGGTCAGCTCATTAGGAGTGATGAGGAAAAACTCTGGCTCCTTTATAAGCTTTTATTTTAGGCCCTTGTGAGGTTTAAGATTGAGATTTAAAATTTCAAAGGAAAAAAAGCAACACATTAGTATTCTAAGATTGCTATTCTTCCCCTAGCTGGCTAGTACTGGCTTTTGTTTTGTTTTGCTTTTGTTTTGTTCTGTTTTCTTTTTTAGAAGTTAGTACAAAAATCTCATTGCCTAAATGATTAAATAAAAAAGATGCTGAAGTACATGAATTTAATAAACTAAATTTGACCAAGAAAGGAGTAATTTATTTAATAATAACTATGATATGTTAATTGTATTGTAAATTAATCAAGCATATTTAATTTACGTATGGTCTCTGTAATGCATTTGTGCTTCTTTAAATTACCTGTACTCCTCTTATTACCCTTTCTAATATCTCTGATGCCAAATTCTTCAAATAATTCCCACAGAGTTCCATCTTGGGAACCCTAATTAAAATAAAATTTTCCTTAATTACAGACATAATCACATATTGAGACATTTTATTTCTCTTATAAAAAGTTGCTGCATTTCAAAAGAATTAACAAGAAAAAACCAAACAACCCCATCAAGAAATGGGCAACAGAAATGAACAGAAACTTTTCCAAAGAAGACAGAATAATGGCCATCAAACATATAAAAAAAAGTTCTGACTCAAGGGAGAAACAGTGGCAAGGGCAATATATGTAACCTTAACAACATTTGTACCCCCATAATATGATGAAATAAAACAGAAAAAAATGCTCTACATCTCTAATCATTAGAGAAATGCAAATCAAAACAATGAAATATCACCTAATCCCAGTGAAATTGGCCTGTATCAAAAAACTCCAAAACAACAAATACTGGAGAGGATATGGAGAGACAGGAACACTCTTACACTGTTGGTGGAATTGCACATTAGTGCAACCTTTGTGGAAAATAATTTGGAGATATCTCAAAGAGCTAAAAATAGAAATGCCTTTCAATCTAGCAATAGCATTATTAGACATCTACCCAAAAGAGCATAAGACATTCTATTATAAAGACATCTGCACCTGAATGTTTATGGCAGTATAATTCACAAGGAAGTGGAAACAACCCAAGTGCCTGTCAATTCATGAGTGGATTATTAAAATTTGGTATATGTTTACAGTGGAATATTACTCAATTCTAAGAAAAGACAGTGAGCTAGCACTGCTTATATTATCCTGGATTAAGCTTAAGCCCATTATCCAAAGTGAGGTGGCACAAGATCAGAAAAATGGGCTTCACAAGTACTCGCCATTAAATTGGTACTGACTGATTATCACTATGGTGTTCAAATAGTGGTGGTGTTCACCAGGGATTTGGGAGTTGAGGGGGTAGACCCACATCTGAGGGATGTGTTGAGTATTGTGGAGGGGAAGGACATACCTCTAACTCTTGCTAGGTAGAGGCAAAGTTACAAAATGCAACCAAAATGTTTGTACTCTCATATTTTCTTGAAATAAAATAAATAAAAATAAAACTATTAAATTACTTTTAAAAGGTTGTTGAATTTGAAAGAAATGAGAACATTCTCCAAACTGTGTTTAAGGATTTTTGTCCTTTTGAATAGAAATGCAACCAAGGGTCACTACAATTTGAAGAGATATGAAAGCTGTATTGTTCTCAGTATCCTAACAATCTTTAATTTTCATGGACAAGATATCTCAGAGAGAATTAAAAACAAAAGTGTATTTTAATTCCCAAAGTTTAAACATATCCATAAAATTGACAATTTGTGTATAAATACTTGCCTGTATAATAGTTTTATTTATTGCATTTTTTCTTCTTGCATTTTTCCAATTTTTGTGATTACATTCTAACAGATATTTGATTCTGAACTCCCTTGTCCTCAGAAGAATTTTTTGACCAGATGTGTTTCTTAGAGTGTTGAATAGAGTATGTGAGAAACATATTAAAAGAGTATTTCCTGATTAGACAGACTGTCTTAAGTGGAGAAAGACTATTCCTCACAATTGAAAGATATTCCTCTGGGTTAGAGTATGAGAGACAAAATATAAAACATTATCTCTGGGTCTACAGAGGAGAAGGCATCAGTAGCCTGATTCTGTGTATCACTGCCTGTAAATAATTAGGCAAAGTCGCAGGGTAGAAATAACTGTTTAATGGACTGCACTGTAAAGAAACAACCAGGGAGCTTCCAGATGTGAATAGAGTATGTGAACTTAGGCATTGTCCTATGCTTCACCTAAGTTAAATATATGAATGCATAACCAAGAACTGGATCTGTCACCTACACATCACCTACAGCTCACATAGTTTAAAACCTGGTTATATTATAGCAAACAAACCTAATTCTAAAGAAGAGGCAAGAACATAGGAAAAACTAATATGACTATAATGTCAAGTGTTACAATTCGTGAAGGTGATATAACCCTTCCTTTAGTTAAAAATTCTAAATTTTCTCTTGATAATTTTCACTATGGAGCAGGAATGAACACATTTTTTTCATATTAGTTCCAAGGTATTTGATTTTTTATTTATATCTTTTATTAACTGTTGACTTTTATATTTTTACTTTGTATCCAGAAACCTTGTTAAATTCACCTATTAATTATCATGATTATTCTCTAGATGCTTGTGGGATTTCTATGCACACAGTCATGAACCCTGTGAATATGAATGGTTTTATTGATTTAGTTCCAATAGTTATATGTCGGTCAGGGACCAATCAAGATACAGAAATTGCACTACTTATTTGAACACGGATAATTTAATATTTGATACATTTTAATTACACATAAAATTGTTAAGTAAGTAACTGAAAAGACAAGAAGAGAAAATTAAGGGAAATCATAGAAGTAGCAAACAGGAAGCACCTATCTACTATACCTATAGCTGTGGAAACAAAATGAAGAAATGGAATTAGTAAAACTAAGAAGTTAGAGGAGGGACTTCATGGAACTGTAACTCAAGTTTCTAAGTAGGGGGCACAGCTCAGCTCACTCTAGTATCTCTGAGCTCAGAGGAGGGCTGTGTGGGGTCTGGGGTCTAGATGTCTGAAGAGCACAGCTTGCTGCACTTGCTGCTGATGTCTCTGATATGGGGCACAATTAATCAGGGACTGAAAGCTCTGAAAGAGCATTTAAAATAAAGCATGATACTCAGAGAAAGAGAAAGAAGTCACAAAGCCCATAGAAGCAATTGGAAGAAAGTAAGTCTCTTCTTCATCCTCGAGTTTTGCATTTTCTTCATAGGTCCCCTCATTGGCACAACCTATATAGGAAGCCAGTTGGCAAATTAGAATGTGGTTTTCTCTTTCACAAATTGAGAATTACAAAATGAAGTACAGATAAAAGTTTAGGACTGAAAAGAAAAAAAGCTTAATAACTGGCAGACTTATATGTTTGATTTTTTTTAATTGTATTGTTTCAATTACAACCTCTAGCAAAATATTGAATACAAAAAAATCATAATCAACATTGCTTGTTTCTGAATTGAGAGGCATATTTTTCAATATTTCACAATTAAATTTGAATCTTGATCTAGGTATGAGGTAGTTGTTCCTTACTAGTTTTTGTTCCTATTTTGTAAAATTATTTTTGTTAAACTAGATATTTGTGTGATGCTATATTTTGTTAGTTTATGCATTTAATGAAATGATTATAGGTTTTAATTTTTCTCCAAATTTTGTTGAGGCAGTTCACTACATTAATTTTCAAATGTTAATACAAATTTACATTCCAGGAGGAAATATTAATACAAGTTGGTGATGAGTTATTTTCCTTTTTATGCATTGCTAGTTTTGACTTGCTAATATTTTGGTTATATTTGCATTTATGCTCACAAGAATTAGCTGAAAATTTCTTTTTTTTATATTACTAATATTTTGTCAGTTCTGCTGATATAATTGTGCTATGTTCAGAACACAATTAGGAAGTATTTTTTCTTTATTTTTTCTCCTAAAAGATAAGTGTTATGGCCAGGCGCGGTAGCTCACGCCTGTAATCCTAGCACTCTGGGAGGCCGAGGAGGGTGGATCATTAAAGCTCCGGAGTTCGAGACCAGCCTGAGAAAGAGCGAGACCCCATCTCTACTAAAAAATAGAAAGAAATTAATTGGCCAACTAAAAATATATAGAAAAAATTAGCCGGGCATGGTGGCACATGCCTGTAGTCCCAGCTACTCGGGAGGCTGGGGCACAACGATTACTTGAGCCCAAGAGTTTGAGGTTGCTCTGAGCTAGGCTGATGCCACAGCACTCTGGCCCGGGCAACAAAGTAAGACTTTGTGTAAACACACGTTGTTTTTTCCTCAAAGTATTAGTACTCTTAAATATTGAAGACATCTGAATTTTGAGTTTTATTTTTTTCTAAGTTTTTAATAAGGTGCATGCCAGTTTTTCAATATTTCATGCGTGTTTTGGAACTTGTATATTTTAAGGTATTTATAAATTCATAGAATCATTGTTTATTAGTAAAAAGTTTTTACACTATTTTATTATTTTTAATTATAAAATAGTGATATTCCTTTTTCAAACTTGATAATTGGTTATTTTCACTCCTCTTTTTTTTATCTTTACAATCTTTTCAGGAGTTTAGCACTTTTATTAGTTCCTTTCTAATAACCAACTACTATTTTCTGGATTCTATTTTATATTTGAAATCTCTTAATTAATTTTTGTTTCTATTATCATTATCATTGTTTTTATTTTTCTTACTTTGAGTTTAATTTGTAATTTTTAGAATATTTTGAGATGTATACTTAGATCATTACTTTTTTCAACTATTGTAATTTTCTAATATATCTTTAAGGCTATAAAGATAGCCTCTAAGCACTCCA